CATCAGCCGGGAAATTTTAATTTTTCTTAAGTGGACAGCCTGTTGATTTATGAACGGTGTATTTAAGGTCATTTCCTATGCCAGAACGAATTAATGATAATTATTTACAACTAGAGAAAGTTGAATGGAAACATAGATCACGGAACAGTAAAGCAATAATTATCAGAAGAGGTTTTGTGGAGACTTTGGAAATTTCAATAGTTGAGATCATGAGTCAACTAAAGTTAGACCACCATGGAAAACCTGAAAGCGCTGGACGGCCGTTTCGTCCTAGTATGGGACTTCTCAGCAATGCGCATCCGCGATCTCCCCCCCCGCGAGATTCTCTGAAGTTAGGCATTGACACCGTTGGATGCCGGCTCAGTGGTCTAATGATTAAGCGCTCGTGCGCGAGTGATAGGCCCTGGGTTCGAATCTCGCGGGGGGCGAGATCGTGGATGCGCACTGCTGAGAAGTCCCATACTAGGACGAAACGGCCGTCCAGCGCTTTCAGGTTTTCCATGGTGGTTTAGCTACAAATAACTCATGATTTCAACTGTTGAAAGTAATAATTACCAAAATATGTCAGTCAAGTCTACCATAATGCATGTTTCATGTGACACAGTGATATACTGTTCATGTTAGATATTATTCAATTTAGTTTAGGTTGCTAGGGACAATGTTAACATAAAGTGACAGTAGGTAGGTGGTTTTACTTAGGGAATTCACTAGTAAGAATGGCTAAACATTTAAATTTCCTATAATCTCACTTGTGGAATAAGATACGCTTACAGGTGCTCGGACATTTCATGAATTATCAGAGGAGCAGTATGCATCAATGCAGCGAACAAAGAATAGGAATGATTTTAAAGTATGGATAGATTGTGGTAGATTATTCCAGAGTCTAGAAAACTTACAGGTAAAGCAATTCATATAAAGAGGTGATTTATGATGGGTTTTGTTTCCATAATGACAAGGAGTTACGGATATCGTAATGAGAAATTTCTGCATATTGAATTACTTGATTAAATGTGAAGGTTATTTTACTAAGTATTTTGAAGAAAAAGATAAGATTTAGTATGAGTCACCTCTTCCATAAAGGGTAGAGCTCAAGTTTATTACATTTAGAATTATAAGTCAAGGTACAATCAGTTCCAAAAATACGAAGTCTTAATTGATCCTTCATGCGCGCATTACTAAGAATAAACAGGCCGTATTCTAGAAGTGGTCGAACACAAACTTTGTGCATTAAAATACTAGACACACTGTTATATAGGTTTCGAATTATGTAAATTATAAGACGTTGAGACTTGGAAGTCTGGTTCAATATCTGTTCTGTAAACAAATCGTAGGAGTATCTGAGTCCTAAGTTTACTACTACTGTATGTAACCTAAATAACACTTCACTATTTATTGGTAAGAACTAAGTTGAATGATGTATCATCGAGGCATATCCATCTACATTTAGTTGTATTAAGCTCCAGCTGGAATTTTTAACACCACTGTATTCCTTGTTTGTATGCCCAACCGACAACTGCCTCGACGAGCGATGTTTTATGGTGAAGGAGTAGGTTGGAAGAATGATAAGGGTAACCAGATCAAAACATGACACAAATCCATCAAGTCACTGGCAAGTGCACTGAGTCATGTTCATAGGTGTAGACTACCTGATTGGGATCCGCAAGACGATAGCGACCGATGTTTAAAAACCTTGAATGACATAGCTCAAAATCGTTTACAATGATGCTGGTACATCCACTCTTTGGGTTCACGCAAATTCTAACCTTCTCAATTCTTCATGTACCTTCTTTTATCTTTCCGGACTTATTTCACTGTATTATACTCGTTGAATAACATGTTCAAACCCTAATGTTTATGATTACTGCTTATACTTTTACTACCTCTATCACTACGGGATTTGAATCGACAATTGTAACTGTGTGCTAATATGGTATGGTAACTCGAACTGATATACGTAAGTACGAAGTTCTACGTTGTTACCAACTGACTGATTGAATATCGTCCAAAACTATTAACTAGTTGATATTTCTATTGAATGAACTACTGAGTTGAGTAACGAGAAAACCAAAAGTAAGTTCCAGGAACAACTGAGGTCACACTTAGGTAGTTCTGAAAACGAGGTTGACTCAAATGTTGCTTGGAAAGTTATAAAAAAAGCTGTGGAGACAGCAGTGACATATATCAGTGATTTAAACCACAGGGTTACAAAGAACCAATGGATTTCTTCAAGGTCTATTGCACTGATGGATTCTCGCAAACTCGTCCCATCAGGTTCCGAACATGATGAAGAGCGACAACAAATCAGATCTAGGTTAAGAAAAAGTCTAAGAAACGACCGTGAGCAGTGGTGGGCAACGAAAGCAAGAGATGGAAAAGGCGGCAGCTATAGGGAACACAAGACAGCTCTACAGACTAATAAAAGAAACTGGAATTAATAAGTCAAGTGTAAGTGAGATTATATCGGAAAAAGACGATACTCTCATCTATTCCCAGTCCAGATGTTTAGAACGATGGGCGGAACATTTTAAGGAGCATTTCAGCTGGCCTTCAGCTACTCTACAACTACCCTCCATTCCCAGACAGTGTGAATGGAACATTGAAGTAGGTCCCCCAACTGTTGCTGAAGTTCATAAGGCTATAGATAATCTGAAACGAGGAAGGGCTGCTGGTCCAGATGGATTGGTTCCAGAAGTCTTTAAGGATGGTGGTCCAATTTTAGCGGTTAGGTTGACTAATATTTTAGCTAAGATCTGGGAGTTAGACGTTATTCCATCTGACTGGTCACAATCACTTATTGTCCCAATATATAAGAGAGGGTTAAAATCATCCTGTGTCAACCATAGAGGGATTAGTTTAACTGATATAGTACCTAAAATACTAGCCTCGATAATTATCGGACGCCTAACTAAGACTCGTGAACTGCAAACACGAGAGAATCAAGCTGGCTTCAGACCTGGTCGTGGCTGCATCGACCACATATTCACCATTCGTCAGGTTCTAGAACATAGGAACACTTATCGACGTCCAACGATGGTGGTCTTTCTTGGCTTAAAAGCAGCATTTGACTCGGTAGACCGCGAGATTCTGTGGTAGTGTCTGTCATTGAAAGGCGTACCTCAGAAATACATAAACCTTGTAAAGGCTCTTTACTTGGACATTACTAGTCGAGTCAGAGCTTATGGTGAACTGTCATCTGCTTTTGCAACCTCAAGTGGTGTCTGGCAAGGCTGTCCACTTTCTCCATTTTTGTTTAACTTCATCATAGATCTACCGACGGAAATAACATTCTCGGGTATTGATCTCCTACTAGGAGGTCCACTTATCGACTTAGAATACGCAGATGATATAGTCCTGTTTGGTGAAGACGCTGATAAAATGCAGAGTCTTTTGGTAGGACTAAGCAACAATGCCAGAATGTTTGGGATGTGCTTCTCTCCCTCAAAATGCAAGTTGTTGCTTCAGGACTGGTCTGCGTCAACACCTGAACTAAGGATAGGGAGTGAAGTAGTCGAACGCGTTGACAACTTCACTTATCTTGGAAGTCTGATCAGCCCTAATGGGTTTGTGTCTGACGAAATCTCAGCACGGATTCGAAAAGCTCGTTTGGCTTTTGCCAATTTACGTCACCTTTGGCGAAGGCGAGATATCAGTCTATCAATTAAGTGACGAGTATAATGCGCGGCAGTTCGTTCTGTTTTAATTTACGGCAGCGAAACATGGCAATTAAGAGTAGAAGATATTCGTAAGCTACTAGTATTTGACCACAGATGCATTATATATATTGATCGCATCCGCTGGGATCACCGGATAAGTAATAGTGAGGTTAGACGTAGGGTATTAGGGAATGATGGTAAATCAGTAGATGAGGCTGTACATGTTCATCGACTGAGATGGTAAGGCCACGTGTTGCGTATGCCCGAACACCGATTACCACGACGTGCAATGCTATCCGGTTGGAGATGGTTGGAAGGAAGTCAGGGGCGGCCAAACCAAAACGTGGCATCAGTGCTTGAAGTTACTAATTTCTAGTCTGAGCCATGTTGGTAGACGCCGACTACTTGGTTGGGGTCAGTGAGATTATCGTAACCAATGGTTGGAGACTCTTGGTGACATGACTGAGAATCGATCGCAATGGCGTAGGTGTATCTAGTCTTTGTCTCCCTTTAAACTATAAAATTAAAATCATTTCATATCTTTCTTTCTACGAACTAATTCTTTCTTCCTGTACTATATCCTTATTGCAATCTTTCTTTTATATATTACCACCTCTGAATTAACTACTTTTATGAATCCGGTGTTCATCTTGTTGTGTTAATGAGGTATGGCAACTTGGACCGATGCATATATGTGCCTGGTCCTATGTTGTAGCTGACTGATATCAATAGAATAAGTCGTTTCATTCTTTTCTTTCAGATGGAAATTTTCTATTTTAATTAAAACAAAATATTCACAATAATAAATATGGATATTCATATATCTATTGTTTGATTAAAGAATAATAAATAATTAAAAAAAAGAAGAAAAAAAAAGAACAATTAATGAAGAATATCCACTTATCTGCTATCAATGTATGTATACATATATATATACATGTACATTCCCCCCCCCAATGAGTACACTAAAACAAAAACAAAAAAAAGTAAGTTGAATGTTACAATTTTTGTAATTGTTTATTCAACTGTGATTGTTTGTAAACCTGAACGAACGAAAGAAAGAAACAAACAAACAATGTAAAACAATAATAGGGATGAAAATATGTACCATGTTTAAAATATACATATGCATTATATATATATATATATATATATATATATATATATATATATATATATATATATATATATATATATATATATATATATATATATATATATATATATATATATATATATATATATATATATATATATGGTAATTTCATGATGACAAAACACAACCACCAATCTGATTGATTCATACAATATATAATCTAATAATATCAAATTTAAGTAATAAATGCGAACAAGTTTTAAAAAAAAAAACACAATAATAACAACAGAGGAACTCAAAAACTTGACTAGTTTTATCTTTTTAAAATACAAACCAAAACAATATAATCATTGCCAAGGTTTTGAAGGTTGATTGTAAATATTCACAGTTTGAGAATAGAATGGATGCATTGAAGACCATAAATGTGTAGGTGGAACAGTTGAAGTAAGTTGGGGAGGAGGATATCTAACAGTCATGGGAAGTAGACCGGGATTAGGGGTATGAGAGATGGCAGGATTTATACATGGGATAATAGGTATACAAGGTGGGCCAAGTAAAGGTTGATCTCTGGGTTTATTACGATAATGTGGAGCAATCTCAGGACGATACTCTGAAGTAGATTGATGAAAAGTATTCGATGAAGATGATACATCTTGAAAACGTGGTAGATTATGTCTATTGATATCATCATCAGGTAACAATGACGAAGAACGTGGAGAATATGCTCCTTTACTACTGGTCTTGGGAAAATTAGAATTTGATCCTCTTGGTCGATAAAATGAATATCGAGGCTGAGATTCAGAACCACTGGATGTGGATGAATCTACATAAGTGCCTAGTAGGGAAGGACGACGATGATGACGCTCACTAGACCAGTTTGTTGGAGGTCGTCGATAATCAGTGTCCTCTTTGTGACCATTGAAAATTTCATCGTCACGATCCGAGAATGAATCATCATTCTTTTTTCTTTGTATACGACGCGTACGTAGCATATGACGATACACATTAGATGGATAGAAATTACCATAATGTTTAACGGATCGGTGATCAGATTGTCGCATATCTTCATCCTCTAAAGACAGATCACTCTCTTGAATAGAATAATCTGACAATTCTGTAGAATTGAATGTCTCGTCTATCAGTTTATACTCATCGTCACCACGAGAAACACTTTGTGAACTATCGATTGAGATGATTGCTTGCCGATCAGCATCAATATTAGGTTCGGGTTCTACATTCCCGTGTTTAGCTAAGTGATTCAAAATATAGCCAACTTGTAAGCGCTGAAATGAACTTGGATCAACTGATGAATCTTCGTCTTCTTCCTGCTCTTCTTTTTCATCACTATTCTTACGTGGGGTACTTGAACTATGACTAGTGGTCGCTTTATTCCGTGTTTTAAGATGTTCTCTATCTCGAGATGAGTGTACTATTTGCCAATTTTCAGACTTACGACGAGTACTGATGTTAATATGGTGTTTACTTTGCATCATTTCTTCATTGACATTGTCACAGTCATCTCCATCATCATCGTCATCTAGTACTTCACCTTCTTCGTTTTCATCAACAACAGGTTTGTTAAAATTTATTGATGGTAAATCCTTTGAGGTGATTGGATCGATGCTTGTGTTACAAACAACAGGTATATTATTATTGTTATCATCATTAATATTGAGATTCTTATATTGACTAGTGTTGTCAATCGAATCCTGGCTTTTTTTATCACTACTATTCAAACTTGTTCGCTTATTATTATCATTATCGTTTTTATTACTAGTACTAATAATAACCTTGTCACTATTATTCTCATTGTCAATACTGCTGTAGCTTTGACACTGATCAATATTTTCTTTGGAATGTCCCGACTTTATTTTGACAGAATTATTTTTTCTATACTGAGCTGCTTGGTGCGAATTCCGTTCTGATTGCTGTGATTTAGATGGAAGTCGCTCTCTTATCTTTTTTATATTTGAATGGTGATAATCGCTTCGACCTTTGATGGACGTGACTGAATTAGAATCTGTTCCAGTGACTGAAGAATCATTAGAATATGAACGATAATGACGACTATGGTAATAATCTGAGTCACTATATGATGGACTCCTTCGATGCCGACGGGGAGAGTACCTGTACGGAGACTCCTCATCATATATTCGACGACGATGTGTGCGCCGTCCTCTATCCCTAGCGTTTCTTGACCGAGAGTGACCAGATGAACGACGATGGTGATTTGAATAACTAGATTTAGGCCTTTCATTAGAACTATACTTTGAAATAGGTGACGACCTATGGCACCCACGAAATGATGAATTCGATTTTGATCTATGATAACTAGGACTACGAGATCGGCGATTCGTATCATGATCATAATCATTATATTTATGATTATATTTACTGTCTGCATATGCAGACAACCTACGAAGGCGTTTAACACTAGATTTAGTTGACCGATGTGTAGAAGAATTATGTGAATCATTGGATGGTGGTGTAGATCGCCGGTAGTTAGGTGACGATGCTCTTCTAAAATCACTTACTAATATTGATAGCTGTGACGGACAACTCCAGTTTGTAGTTTTCGGTGGACTCGGAGCAGGTTCATGAAACTTTAGAGTTAACGGACTGGTGTTCGCAAGTTGACCAAAGGGATGATCAATTTCCATATCACTTTTATCTAAACGAGATGACTGATCACATGGATCAGTATTATCAATTTCCATGTCAACAGATGTATTCTGATGCATTACTGGTGAATTATGACATAAATCGAAATTTGATGGACTAGACGCTATAATTGGATTCATTACAACTGTAGTCGGATTAGAAGTCTGCCCATCAAGCGGAATCTCTTTTGGTATAATCTGTGCATCCATTATTGAAACCGAATGATATTCAGATCCAACTTCTGGACTAGATGGTGCAGGAATTAGATCTTTAGGATCACAACTTTCCACATAAGTTTCATTAATAGCAGTAGCACTTTCTTGAATTTTATTTTTTTGTTCTTCTAACTGTGATTGTTCCTCCGTTGGTTTTTCAGTTTTCCTTTGATATGTTGATGAGATTAACGCAGTAGCAAGAGCATACAAATCCGGTTCATCTGATGGATAAATTTGACGACGATGAAGTCGTGGATCTAAATGTGGATTATGCTGTAATTTACGATCATTATCATTTGATAATATTCTTGTGTTCGTGATTTCTGTATTATTATTATTATTATTATTATTATTATTATTATTATTATTATTATTATCATTCACAATATTTTGATGAGCTAATACTGATATTAAAGCTGAACCAAGAAGATTTCGACCACCATCAGTTAATGTTGTGAGAATACGACTTAATGGAAGTTTCAATTGCATAGAAGAGGTACATATGGATGCTACAACAATAACAATAAAAAAGAAAGAAAATGGTCTTAAGAAATTTATTATAAATATTACCAAAAATATATATATTACTGAATCATAAATATCTAATCAGATGTACAAAAAATTGTCATGAAGGAATACAATTCAAAAGAAACAATTACATTAAATTAACATTGCGATTTATACAAACTTTGGTCGACCAAACCATCCAAGCTTAGAGAACAAAACTCCATCATCAAAATCACCTACATAAACTACAAATCTTATACAAACTTTGTCAAATCTAACATATTTCATTATTATCAGATGGGTATTGTAGATATTATAGTAATTTCAATGGTTAAGATCATGAGTCAGTTGAAGCTAGACCACCATGAAAAACCTGAAAGCACTGGACGGCCGTTGCGTCTTATTGTGGGACCCCTCAACAGTACGATCTCGCCTTCTGCGAGATTCGAACCCAGGACCTACTGGTTTCGCGCGCGAGCACTTAACCACTAGACCACTGGATGCGCGCTGCTGATGAGTCTTACAATAGGAGGAAACGGTCGTTCAGTGCTTCCAGGTTTTCCATGGTGGTCTAGCTTCAACTGACTCATGATCTTAACCATTGATATTTCATTATATTACTAAAATTAACGGTATACTCTGACAAATGATTATCATTATTAATAAAACTCAAGTAGAAATTACTAGCAGTAATAAATAATTCAAACATTTCAAAGTGTATTCAATAATTCCAAATATATTGGTATTTCATTGTTAAAACAATATTTTAGAATATATACCGTTTACAAAAGGGCAGTAGATGAAGTTCATCGTAATTCAGTTTAATGTAACTCATTGACCATGTATATATGTTATGTGTATTACGCTATTTAACCTGAAAGTTGTTAGGGGGGAGGTGTGAACAATTGTCCCTTTTGATTATACACATTTTGGAAGAATACTTACTTTTGAAGGTCTTGTATTTTATTTATTTACCTCAGCAAATAAACATTGATACAAAGGGGAACCAAAATATATATGTGCCACATAAATAATTGAATTACTGTGTGAGCTGTGATACTGCCCGGGTGCTCAAGCCAATGCAGGTGGTTTTATTAGGGATCCATTAACATAATTTTTAGTCTAAATATCTAATTCACAATGCAGTAGAACTATATTGAGAGATGCGGTCCCAAGGTAGTATATGATCAAGAACAGGTTCATAAGCTAGTTGTTCTCTTAAGAGCTTGAAGTTAATATGAACCACTGAATTGAAACCAGTGTTTTTCAATTCCCCTGATTGGATCCTTTGCATCTACCAACCCAATTTAAGCACCGGAAATTCGTTTATCGTTCGCTCGATAAATTAAAAACGCTTTCGCCACGAGGCCATGAGCAAAACTTCTTTGGTAGTGGATATATACGCGTGGTCATATAAGAGCATTTCGAGCGGAAGATAGGAATCTTCCTCAACTTCGGCCATACCGGGTATTTTAGGGGCCTTGTAAGCAAGACCGAATTATTAATAGTTTTGAAGAACTGTGAGTGTAATCCTAGAGCTCAAAAAATAACTGCTTGAGGCCGAACACACATGCCGTTTTGCTGAGAAGTCCTCAATGTACTATATCTCTATGTTCTAAAAACCTTACCACGGGCGACAAGAATCTATATAGTAAGGTGAGGTGTGATATGTTTAGGATTGACCTGTTTAAAACACTTCCTTTCGTTATAGGAAGGCAGCTTTATTTGAAACACTGGTTGACTGGAAGAAATACATTAATGTTGGGTCATCATGGTAGGTAAACCCGAAAACCACGCCAACGAAGTTCAACTTCCAAACTTTAACCAAAACTGAACCACTGAACTTAAAGTTCTCCACAACAAGGCTCCTTGCTTTCGGTTACTTTAGATTACCTATAACCTTCTCAACTTCATTAACAACATTATTATTATTTTAATCTCTCATTCTGGTTTGTTCGGAGGTTAGTTGGACTGTTCTATGAAATGTTTCGTCCATCGTTCTAATGATCTGAACTGAAACTGGGTCACAGTCTCACTAACATTTGACGTTTTTATATCTGTTTTCTCGACCAGTTGGAATAGTTGTCTACTGTTACCTATCGCCTCTACCCCTCCCACCTCTTTCGTTTTTGCTGTCCACTACTGCTTACGAAGACTGTGTAAACTTTACGTCATTCTACGTTCAAGTTGGCTTTGTTCTTCATAGTACTTTGAACCTGATATAACGAGTTTTTGAGCATCTATCAATCCAGCAAAGGCTGCTAAAGTCTACTGATCTTCTTAATTTTTGTTTTAAGTCATTGGTGCTTAGCCAGATGTTCGAATGTCACTTAATCGACATCAAGGTGAACATCACCTTGACGATAGACCAACTCATTCACTAGTTGCTGAAAAATACTCCTGAGTTTTTCGTCATCAAGTTGAACTCTAAAAGGTTTTCCTTCTGTGGATTTTCTGCATATAATAAGATCCAAACGATCACATGCTTGCGTTAGAGTATCATTAGATGCTAAATGTGCGTTTCAGAATGATCAGTAGCCTTTTGCTGAGCTTCCTCTATGGCGGTTGATGCGAACGTGGCCTACACGTGTACGTTGTTAGACCGACATTGAGGGTATCCTATTGGATGAAATTCTTGTGCCTAAAGTTGGTATCTGCTAATAATAATTAGTTGTCCCAGCACAATTATAGCAGATAGTCGCCGTTGTCTATTCGCTGAGTTGTGACACTGTAGAATCCACATGAGTGTCTTTCACTTTAATTAAAACTACCTACGTGGGTGTTAAAGTCACCTGCTACAATCAGGATATTAGAACGTTTTTAATTTTTCAAAAAAGTAGAAAGGTTCCTGTAAAACTTATCCTTTACTTACCTCAAGTGAAGTAACTAGGAGTGCACACAGAAACGATTAAGAGGTAATTGGGTGTCCTTATCTTTCTGTTTTCTTACAACCCGGGCAGCGCATAAACTAATCTTAACAGCAGGTCATTTGAAGAGGACCTGTCTCTCTTAAGAGCTTAGTGCTATACCTACGCCAGCGAGGCTATAAGAGGTGGCAGTTAAATCTTTAAATACACGAAACATATATCGAGCCGATCCTCTTGTAGTGTATGAAAACTCAGGTATGGTGAACAAGTATACTATTTTACGCAAAACTACAGTGCATTCGTAAAATATGAAAATCATACATTGAATACATCATTTGTATATCTTCCTCGAGTTTTCCTTTACACTCTCGACTATTCTTCGAATCTTGTTGTTATTCCGACTGCTCGCAGTTTCCCTTCTTCTTCCCTTTATTTCAATCTTCTGTTGGTACACATCCCACTTTCAATTGCTACTACACATTACTTATGTCTATCCGCGCAAGTAGCGCATACCACAAGGTAAGGTTAAACGAACGATTAGACTCGAATCACGTACTCATGTTTCGGAGATACAGCATACACCGAAGATTAAAAGAAAGTTAGTGGCAGCCAAACTAAAACATAGCATTATTAAACGAAGTTACTGACTCTCGGTCTAAGCCATGTTTGTAGATCCAGACTACCTGGTTGAGGTCAGCGTGATAACTTGTTCAGTGGCCCGAGACATTGGGTCACACTGTTCAGAATCGTTCACATTGGCATAAACTGACTTACGCTCTGTCTTCTTCTCGATCTCAAATTTCAGTGTCTCTTCAAACCGTATTCCCAAGGTGTAATTTTTCATTTTTACCATCCGTGGCTAATTATTGCTATCTCTTTTATTATTTTAATCCCTTTGTGCTAATCACGTGTGGAAACTTGGACCAACGCTCATCTGTATCCGGGTCTATGTTGATGTCTGTCTGCCTATCATTTTACCAGTGTAATCTGTTTTGTCCATAAAAGATACCTGCTCAGGTTTACCTATAGTCAATGTGTTGTTTTTTCTCGTTAGTAAATTGTCTTCATGCCGTATCATTAGTGGATATTTTAAATCAAGCTTACCAAATTTGTTCTATTTGACAGATACTAACTAATTCTTCCTACCATTTATTTGTTTCTTTTCAACTCATTCCCCCAAATGCCCTGGTACGGCCGAGAGTGGGGAGAGTCTGCTCTCCATATCTCCAAATGTTCCCATATGGCCACGCGTATATACCCTCTTCCAGGGAAGTCCTACTCACTGCCTTCTCGTGGCGGGGGTGTTGTTTACGAAGTTGAGAGGACGAAAAACGAACGTCCGGCGCTTCAATCGGGTTGGTGCAAACGGAGAGTCCACCTAAGGGAGTTAGAAAACCCTGATCCCAAACCAATCGTGCACATGGGTTCCAGGATTCTGAAGGAACAAGTGGTGTATGAACCAATCGTTGGTCACCGGCTACCATGGAACTGCATCTCCTTACGATGCTTCATTGACTTGTGGATCAGACATTTGGGTGGAAGGCTCTGAGTGTGGCCTCCTAAGAAAACCACCTGTTTCGACTTGGGCACCCGATCAGTAGCACAGCCCTCACACAAATCGAACGACTTATGTGGTGCATGTGTATCTGGTGCTCCTATGTACCAGTATTTATGTGTTCAAATAAATAAATAAATGACAACTCATTCCGTATCTCCAATATGCTACATTCACACTTCAACTAATTACTCACAAATCCCTTGTTCGCGTTCCATTCGCTTAAACCGTGAAACGTACTTCCTTACACCTGCTACCCTGAGAATGGATTTAGATAAGTCCACATTGAGTGGGACGTACCTTCTACCGTAGGTGGTCATCGGTTTTCGGTTTTCCGACTGTAATATGTGATGTGACCCGATGAAACCCAATTGATTACTCACACAAATTTTTTAGAGGTATGTGTGTTGTTGTATTTCGTTGATTTGTGGTTCAGTACGGGGTTACAATGCTTGCGGAATTAGTAACAATTAAAATAATACGATCGGCACAACATTTTAGTCTTAGGTAACGAACCATATTGTTCAATTTGACTTAAGATTATAAGTTTAAAAGCTCCAACATGTAGTTTAAGACGCGGTATCAAAAGACCAGGAGTAGCGTATTGCGAAGCTGAATTTTTGGCACTAATGGCGATTAGGGACAAAGATTAAGTCATAGAAGGTTTGGTTGTAAGGGCAGAAGAAATATTAAGATGTAAGGAAGGGATCTAATTGTAAACAAAGTACTCTCAAGTATTTGTAAGAGCATTGTGGTTGGTTGGCATCTTTTGGATGCGCACATTATGATAGGCAAATTCTTCTTGTGACTTGTGTAGAGCATATGTATTCGGTGCCCCTTTGTACCAATATTTATGTGTTCAAATAAAATAAAATAAATAAATCTTCTTAGGATACCTTGAAGGGAAAATGGATTAATAGCGATTATTTTTCGATTGAAATAAACTTTGACCGAAGCAAAAATAAATTTAAATGACAAGAAAATTACTTGTTTTCCGTTGTCCAAACAATTTGTCTGTAGATGTTCCCATCGGTAAAGCAGAAGCCACTGCAAATGGTGATACATTTGAAGTTGGGGTGACAACATCATTGTTTGATTGACAACAACACATTTCATTATATGGATATCGATGTAAACTATGAGGTGTAAGTAATATTGCATGTAAAAAATTCCTATCCAAATTATCAACAATAGGTATGCCTAAAAGACAGTAATGTCAATAACTCATTAACAAAATAGACGATTGACAGGTAACAAATTATATTTATAAGTTATGATACGAGTTTACAGATAATCAAACATTCAATATGAGAATGTCAATGTAGAAGAGGTATTATTCACATCACACAAATACAGTTTGTAGAAGCATATCTAAATACTATTAATGATATAAGTTTATCAGTATGTGAATTTATAAAGATTGTAGTATTTCCAAAATTGAATTCATGAGTCGATCAAAGTTAGACCACCATTGAAAACCTAGAAACACTGGACGGCCGTTTCGTTCTGTCACGGGACTCCTCAGCAGTGCGTTTGCGCTCAACGAAGGTCCTTGGTTCGATTCCCATGTATTGTGATCGCGGATGTACACTGCTGAGGGGTCCCATACTAGGATAAAATGACCATCCAGTGTTTCCAGGTTTTTAATGATGATTTAGCTTAGATCGACTCATGAATTCAACTGTGAAAATATAGGTTTATTTAACATTATATATTAAATAATAGTAGAGTTTCGATCGAAAAAAAGGATATTCAATATGACACTAAATATTTATCTTATATGAACTTTAATTTTGCACAAATTAGGTTCACTTTACAGTGTAAAGTGTTCAAGTTTCTACTAAACATTAAAATAATTAATATTAGATTACATGTTCGTTAATTCGTGAATAGAATGTTGCAGTTTTGAGGTTTTTATATCGTGATGATAATAATGAATGGTAACTTTTGGGACCTCTTTATGGACCAATACTATATGTATATTTTTATAATATAATTGTTAAATAACTAAACTATACATATACATATTCCTCTTATCATAAGTTTTATTTTGATCTATGAACTGATATGTTACGATTTACCATTCTTGAGTTATACCTTGTCTATCACTTACTATCTCCCTTATTCACAGCCACGTTTGCATAAATCGTGTACAAATGTTGTTTCCTATTTTATGGTACGATGTGGTCTGTTTGGTTGGTATATAAACCCTGTATGTTTGAAATAAACGATTCATATTGCACAGGCTGAGATTGGTGTTCTGGATTTAACAGGATGAGCTAGGCGGTAAGCAGGATCGACAAGGACTCTAGACTGCTCGTACGGGTTATATGTGTCATTTGTCCAATCGATAAATCACTGTTTTTTAATTGGTGGGCACAAGTTATGACAGAGGTGAACACTTTTTTCAACATAAATGAATATCGAACTACTTAAAAAATAACTTCATTTCGAAGAGAAAACAATATATTTGATGAACTTCGGCATTCAATAATTATTAATAAAAATAATAATAATGGGTTTATTCAATAGTCTGCCCAAACACCGACTGCCGCGACAAGCGATGTTTTACGGTGAAGGAGTAGGTAGGAAGAATGATAAGGGTAACCAGATCAAAACATGACACAAATCCATCAAGTCACTGGCAAGTGCACTGAGTCATGTTCATAGGTGTAGACTACCTGATTGGGATCCGCAAGACGATAGCGACCGACGTTTAGAAACCTTGAATGACAGCTCAAAATCGTTTACAATGGTGCAGGTGCATCCACTCTTTGTGTTCACGCAAATTCTAACCTTCTCAATTCTTCATGTACCTTCTTTTATCTTTCCGAATTTATTTCACTGTATTATACTCGTTGAATAACATGTTCAAACCCTAATGTTTATGATTACTGCTTATACTTTTACTACCTCTACCACTACGGGATTTGAATCGACAATTGTAACTGTGTGCTAATATGGTATGGTAACTCGAACTGATATACGTAAGTACGAAGTTCTACGTTGTTAGTGACTGACTGATTCATTAATCTTTTTACATCTAAGATTACATCAAAATGTCCTCAGGACGAATTATACGAATATTGCAACAAATTCTTATTTTATATTCATCTATATATATATATATATATATATATATATATATATATATATATATATATATATATATATATATGAATCTTGGTTTCCCGTGATGTAATTACTTCTCGTTTGTTATTGGAAAAGACAACTGAAGGGAATAAGGAAAATATGCCAATGACTATGGATGATTGTTTCAATTTTACAGTAATTAGCTTTATAACAATTCGGTAATATAAGCTTCTTATCAAAACTTTTGTGTGTATTATGAAATGGAAAAAACAACACGTATGTAATTAGTAAAAATAGACTAGAAAAATAAGTGGATTTATTGTAGTCTTTTCATGAGTGTAAAATTGGTCATTCACAGGGTTTGAGCTATTATTATTTACATACACAATAATGATAACAATACAATATGGTAGCATACATATTGAATTATATACATACCTATTGACTTGGAAAATTGACATTCAGGGAATAAAAACATGATACTAGATTCATCACAAGGCATAAAGACAACACCAGCCTAAAATACAAGAAACAGTACAAAGCTTGACAGGGGTTTGTAATTAAATTGTAAAAATTTCATATATACAGTACCGATATATGATGACTTTAATGAGTCTTATTTTCAGCCGTGATCAGTTATTTCTATCTGATAAGTTGTTTTACTCACCAGTCCGATTCGGTTACAACATACACTTTCTACAGCAAACCAAGCCCATTATAAAAATGACAACACTGAAATGACACTAGAAAGCTGTAGTTTGGCGTAACCCAATAATTTGACACACAAAGCATTGGTATGCATATATTTGCCCTTCTAACGCAGACAAGGGTATGTAGGTTGAAACTTTAGCTAGGAGCGAAATCGACTTCCCCCGATAGCGTGTCTTGATTAGAATGGCTTGCCTACCGTCTTACCTTGAAGCGGTATGCAAACATGTAAATTAATTGAATGAGACATTTGATGGTATTGTTCAATCTCATGCGCAATGATAAAGATAAGTTTGTATTGGTCTTTTCTGCATCCTCAGCTTTGATGTTATTTCTATACTTGTGTTATATGTCCTCTATGTGTTAGGTATGAAAACCATGATTAATTCGACTATTTCGGCATTCACTTCACTGTTATCCTAGTGGAACATGGGTCGCCGACCAGGATTCATAAACCAACTATCTTCTGCGCTATGCTTTCCAGTTGTTTCCAATTTTTATTCATTCTTTTGAAATATGCCTCCAATTCCCTGCGCAATGTATTCCTTGGTCTTCCTCTTTTCCGTTTCCCTTCAGGATTTCAAGTTAGGTTTTCCCTCGTAATGCAGTTCAATGATTTTCTCAGCGTACTCCCTACTCACCTCCGGCGTCTTTTCCTAATTTCCTCTTTAGATGAAAGTCAGTTTTCTTCCTACCATAATGGGTTGTTCCTGATGGTATCCAATCAATGGATTTGAAGTACCTTGCGTAGACTATTGTTTATAAATACTTGTGCTTTTTTAATAATATGGAACGTTTAGATGTACATAATAATAATTTTTTGTCCCATTGTTCTTCATGCAAATGTATGGCAATCTTGGAGCGACGCACTTCTGTATTAAATCTTATTCGTGGTAGATTGACAGAAATCATGGATATACAACTGTCTTGATAAAAATTTTAAGTTTTAGACTATCTTGCCTTTTTCTAGTCATTGGGCTTATTATAGAATTTCCTATTACAAAATTAAAGTGACTTGAAGTGATTCATCCAGTAACTTATTAAAGTTCTTATCTTATTTCGCTCAGTTAAACATTATAAAATATGATCTGGATGTGTGTGTTGGGTGCGATATACATAATTGTCATTGAAAACAAGTTATTTGATAAACAAATTAGAAGTAGAAGTTAGACTTGTACACCACTGGATCCTTGCTCAGTAATCTATAGGTTAGGCATTCACGCACGAGACTGAAAGTCATGTGTTCGATTCCCGACTGCGGGGCCGTGGATGCGCACTCCCGAGGAGTCCCAATACTACGAAACGGCAATTAAGCGCTTCCAGATTTCAAATAGTTGTCTAGTTTAGACCGGTTAGTGATCTTAATGAAATTAAAAGCAGTTTGAAGAAAATTCATTTATAACGAACAATTAAATATCTATTTATTCACCATTGCACTATTCTGTAAGGCTTGACATAATTGTGCCATTTCTGTCCGACGTCCACCAGATTCATCGTGCAATGTTAGACGGAAATAATTACCTCGATAACCACCAAATGGACTTGGGTCCGATTGTAGTGATGATGCTTTAACAGGATTCAAACGAGGAAGGCACCATTCTTGATCACGTGGGACAGAGACTAAGACTGGAGGTCCATTCAAATCGAACGGTTTCGTTGTCCAAGGTTGTAAACCAGCAAGTTCATAGTGTAAAGATGTATGAGCAACTAGTCGTTGTATATGTAGGCATGGTTGAAGTCTATAAATTTTTTTAAAAAAACCTTCCTTATAGAGTACCTGTATAATCACGATTTAAAAACACTGTCAAAATCTTACATGTAAATACATATTAAATATTTGATGATGGGTAATAATCAATAGCAAAATATAAAAATCTTTGAAAGTTCTCACGAACTGTAATAGTACACAATAATTGGTCAATAAATAGGTAAATAAATTGGTAAATAAATATAGTGCCCCCGTATGCCCTGGTATGGCCGAGAGTGGGGAGAGTCCGCTCTCCCTCTCGAAATACTCTCACACGGCCGCGCGTATACAGCCTCTGCCAGAGAAGTCCTACTCATTGCCTTCTCGTGGCGGGGGTGTTGTTTACGAAAATGAGAGGACGGAAAACGAACGTCCGGCGCTTTAACCGGATCACAAACCAATGGTGCACATGGGCTCCAGTATCCTGCGGGAACAAATGGCGTATGAACCAATTGTTGGTCACCGGCTACCATGGAATTGCATCTCCTTACGATGCTCCACTACCTTGTGGGTTAGACCATTAGGTCAAAGGCTCGGGGTGTAGCCCCCTAAGATAACCACCTGCTTCGGTTTGGGCACCCGGGCAGTATCACAGCCCACACACGAATGATGAACTCTTCATGTCTATGAAAATTACTTTTCTCGCTTCGAAAAACAATAAATTGATTCAAATAATTATCATTACTATTATTGTCATTATTAATACTATTATTATTATTACCATTATTGTCATTATTATTATTATTATTATTATTATTATTTTCCACATTATTCACCCTCTTTTATACTTATACAGCGGCTCGTCTTTGGTGGACATCCGACTGTATCTAAACGTTCTCGAGTCACTGTCCGGTTGAAAATTGTATGTTACCACCGAATACGAGAACTGAAGCAGTTTTTCTGAAACCACATGCACTATTCAAACTGGCTGCCTTCAACGTTCGCACACTAGTGCAGGTCGGACAACAGATAAGGCTGGCTATGTCTTTGGAAAGTCTTAATATTGATGTTTGTTGTCTATCCGAGACCCGTATTCAAGACTCTGGCGAAGTACTACAAATTCGATCTCCATCTGTCGCTTCGAAAAGCTTGTTTTACGTGCGCTTATCCGGGGACCCTGTGGCATCTTCGTCTGGTCTTGCTGGCGTTGGTGTCGTACTAAGCGCGAGAGCTGAGGCAGCACTAGTCGATTGGATCCCCATTAACAGTCGGTTATGTGGTGTTAGATTAGAAAGTTCCATCAAAGTGAGAAGAAATCGGCGTGAGAAACGATGTCTTTTCGTCATCTCCGCCTATGCCCCGACAGATTGCAGCCCGGATGCAATCAAGGATGAGTTTTACTACCAGTTATCTGTCCTTCTCCAGAAAGTGCGTTTGACAGATATTGTAGTAATAACCGGAGACTTGAATGCTCAGGTCGGGCGTCTAGGCACAGAAGAGAGTCGTTTAGGTGGCCGATGAGGACTCGTTAGTCGCAGGTCAGATAACGGGGACCGTCTACTGCAACTGTGCACAGACCACAACCTGCTTCTGGCTAGCACTAACTTTCGGCACAGTCATCGCCGATGTGCCACCTGGCGTCCTCCCTCTGCATCCAAAGCCTGGACTCAGATTGATCACATCGCGATCAGCTACTGCTGGCGTGATTGTGTACAAGACTGCCGATCCTTTTGGAGTACCTATCTGGACTCTGACCATGCTTTGGTCTGCACCAATCTTACCTTACTTTTCAGTGTCCAACGAAGTGACCGCCATCAACGGATTGATGTTAGCAAGTTGTTTGCAACTTCCGTTGCTAGTAAGTATTAAACCGAGCTAGGTTCTAGGCTAGCTACCATTCCACCGAAAAGAATAGATGAGCATTGGTCGCAATTGCATGACGCCATGAAAATGGCGGGTACAGTCAGCTGTGGGTTTGCGAAACGTCCCGCTTACGAGCACTGGGTTTCTTCTATTTCTTTACAACTCATTGAAGCCCGTCGGTCGACTCCGGGTGACCGTGAGTTTGACCATAAACGAAGGATGTTACGTGATGAAATCGGGCAAAGCTTGCGTAAGGACCGAGAAACCTGGTGGTCGGAGCGTGCTAATGAGGCGGAAGCAGCAGCTGCATCTGGTAACTACCAGAAGCTCCTCCAACCCATCCGAGCCACTGGCAGACAGAAGCCTGGTGTGAGCGAAACAATCTGCGAGGATGATGGGATGCCAATCACTAACATCCATCGACGTCTTGGACGATGGGCAGAATTTTTCGAAGGGCAGTTCAACTGGCCTGCTGCTCCGGCAACATCGGTCAGACTGTCCTGCCCTCCATGGCCGGTGACGACTGATCCACCAAACGAGGAGGAAGTCCGCAAGGAACTCCAACTCTTGAAGCGCTACAAATCACCTGGCCCAGATGACTTACCTCCGGCTCTTTTTAAAGATGGTGGTGACTTTTTGACTAAGGAATTGACGACGTTGTTTACAAAGGTTTGGGGACTAGAGAGTGTACCAACGTCATGGAATGAGTCGATAGTTGTCCCTATCTTTAAAAAGGGTTCACGTCGTTCCTGCAACAACTATCGGGGGATAAGTCTACTTCCGATTGCGTCCAAGCTATTGGCTTCCGTCATACTTCGTAGGTTGTTCAAAACCCGAGAAAGATTGACTCGCGAGGAGCAGGCTAGGTTTCGTTCTGGTCGAGGATGTATTGATCATATCTTCACCCTCCGCCAAATGTTAGAACATCGCCATACTTATCAAAGGCCAACAATCGTAGTGTTTCTTGACATCAGGGCTGCCTTCGATTCGTTGTATAGGACTGTTCTCTGGAATTGTCTATTGAAGAAGGGTGTGTCTGAGAAGCGTATTAACATCCTAAAAGCCCTATATACAAACACCTCAGGCAGAGTGAGGGCATACAACAACCTTTCTCCATTGTTCCATTCGAGCAGTGGGGTTAGGTAGGGTTGCCCAATCTCACCATTCCTCTTCAACTTCGCCATCGATGACATTCTGGAAACAGCTCTGATGAATGTAAGTAATGGTGGTGTGGATCTGTTGCCTGGAGAAAGACTTCTCGACCTTGAGTATGCGGATGATATTGTCTTACTGTGCGATAATGCCCAAGGCATGCAATCCGCACTTAATCAGTTGGCAATCAGTGTCCTTAGGTATGGTATGTGCTTTGCACCTTCGAAGTGCAAAGTACTTCTACAAGACTAGCAGGATTCCAATCCTGTACTCACCCTGGATGGTGAGCAGATAGACGTAGTCGAGAAGTTCGTGTATCTGGGTAGCTGCATAAGTGCTGGTGGGGGTGTGAGTGATGAGATTAATGCACGTATAGTGAAAGCCAGAGCGGCTTACGCCAATCTGGGCCACCTTTGGCGCCTTCGTGATGTTAGTCTGGCTGTAAAAGGTCGGATCTACAACGCGTCGGTGAGAGCAGTTTTGCTCTATGCTTGTGAAACCTGGCCTCTCCGAGTTGAGGACGTCAGACGACTCTCTGTGTTCGATCATCGCTGTCTCCGAAGGATTGCTGACATTCAGTGGCAACACCATGTCAGTAATGCAGAGGTTCGGCATCGTGTGTTTGGGCACAGAGATGATAATTCAATTGGTGTCACCATCTTGAAACACCGACTTCGGTGGCTTGGACATGTTCTACAAATGTCGTCCCAGAGAATTCCACGTCGTGCATTATTTGCCGACTCTGGGACTGGTTGGAAAAAGCGGAGAGGTGGTCAGTGCATGACATGGTGTCGTAGTATGAAAGAAAACTGCAAAGGACTGGCTTCTGTCGGTCCTTCACGACTCCCTGGTTGGAGTCTGAGAGATGGTGCTACACAGTGGCTAGAGACATTATCAGATATGGCTCAGAATAGAAGCCAGTGGCGATCCTGCTGTAACCTTCTTTTACTTTCTTCATAAAAAGTGGTTGTGTCTCCCTTACTTGAAAGATTCCTTCTGAGTGTACCTTTCCGTTCCATCGTTACGACCACACTACCTTACACCAATCTCTTCGTTATCGTTCTCTTTTTCTTTTGTGCTCCTTAGTTGTTTTTTTCTATCTCTCTTCGAATTTTCATTGTTTTGTGTGGCGCATATATATAGGCGCTCTCTTGTACCAATATTTATGTGTTTAAATAAAATAATAATAAATATATATATATAGTCACTGCATAATTACTGAGTAAGCTTATGTTCAATCCATTGACTATTGTTGTCGATTTTTTATAGATTGCCTTATTCATAGCCATTTTTGGCTGTTGTGATTTTTCATTTTATAGTTTGATCTGCTCATTTTTGTATATAAACTCACGTAAGCTCAAAACAATATAATAGAGGCTTGTTCCTGATTTCTCTCTGGCTAAGAGATAGAGAGGGTGCTCACAGATAGTAGACAAAAAGGAGCTTAGCTTGCGTCGGATAAAGGTTAACGATGCTGGTTAGACGTGTAATTAGTTGATTCTAGGATACTAGGCTATGGAAGAGATAGTAGACGAGGAGAAGTGACAGATTAGAATACTGATTGGTAACTTTAACACATGATCCTGGATTGATTTATATTAAACCATAACAAATCGGCGATCACAAGACAAAACAAAAAAGTCACTTGAATTCTAAATACGAGAATCTTAACTAATTTATCAAACAACTTAACTAATAGCCGCGATGTCATGTTTGACAGATTGATGTTAGTTTCGCTTCACACAGTACAGTAATTCAATATCTTTTGTAAAGTCAACCAGTAAATTCACAGATGTTAATGAAGGACAACGTATTAGTGTTGTGATATTTAGAGTAAATCCCATCATTGTATAAGTGTTAGAAAAGTTATAGAAATAATTGCCTATAATTGCCTAGTGACATTCTATCATAATATAAACTTTTAAACATAGTAATATCTATATATCAGAATAATAACATGATTTAACGGATGGTCTAAAACATAAAGTTGGTCTGGATGATTGGGCTTGTAATATCGATAGATTGGTAACTCGAATACAAAACACAGACTAGATCACGTTATATTAGATTCAGGATTTACGATCAAGAATAGCGAACCAAAGTAACGCTAAATAATACTTGATTCAACACATAATTACAAGCAGTCGCACTCAATGACTCTCAATGGGAGCAAAGGAAATCACATATCCAATAATCAGTAAACTGAATCCCTCGTTGTACACACTTAATGGTCAATCATATTTACTTTCATTAACATATATTACACAGTACTACAATACTTACATGCCATCGAATACAGTTATTTCACCTTTACGAAAAGTTGATATTTCTACTGCCAGTGAATATTCCGGTTTTGGATAACCCCATACAAGTAATGAAACTCCAATAACAGTTGAAGGTAATTCATCAACAATTGCATTATTATGATTACGATTATCATAATTTATTGCTCCACCACTACAAGTACTACTTATATCAGTCACTGTGTTATTATCAATAGATTTAATGCATTCAGAAAATTGAAACAAATTACAATTTGCCTGTAATCTTCGTGCATTTGCAATATAAATATTTAAAACACCAGAATCTTGCCGCTTTGATCTTTGTACTGGAGATGATAATTGATCTGAATTATTATCTGATCCGACAGTGGTAACAGAACCAACAGGAGACATAGTAGTATTTATAGGAGGACTTTGAAGTACACTATTATTATTACTGAGTGAAGTAGGACTAGGTAGAAGTGCAGGTGCTTTATATCTGTAACGATTTTTACATCCTGACACATTAGAATGAGCAATTTTCTAAAATGTAATGAAAATAATTAGATAAATACTATCAACGAATTTTTTTTTCGAAAAACAATACGTATGTACAATACTACTGTTATGTGATTCAGTAGAACCAATTCAATAATTGACCAAAACAACTTGCATTATTCACAGTTATTTATCTATTATTTATTTTTTCAGTAATAATAAGTTGTTTTTTTTTAAAAAATAAAGAAAAGTTGACTGGATAATATCATCAAATGCTTGGCATGACCACGGACTATTATCCGAGCATGCAACAATATAAACTGGCACATGAGTAAGTTGACAGAAGAGCTAAGATCAGTCAAATAATAATATGGAATCAGTTCATGAATAAATTCACTAATTATAGGAATATATCATGTAAACCAGTGGAGATTTGTAGCTCAGGTGGATGGTTTAGTCATGGAACTTTCATTATTCTCCTGAATAACATCATCAGGACAAACTTCAGGTAGAAGTTAACTACTTGAATTTCTCCATATATGACACAGTTTATCCTGTCGACCTCGATCTTAATTAATTTTGTTGTAGACAATGACAGGATAAAGGTCGACAATAGCCAATCAAGATCGAGTTCAACAAGACAAGCTGTGAGTCATATCTGAAGAAATTCGAATACTTCACTCCTACCTGAAGTTTGTTCTGATTATATTATTCAGAAGAAGAATGAAAGCTTCATGACCAAAACTCTACCTAAGTACCAACCAATAAATGTAGACTTCTTGATTGAAATCGTTTATAATTTAAAAAGCGGCTTGATATGGCTCAAAGTTGACCGAATTAGTGTATAATTGCATTTACTTTCTATCATTGTTCAAATCTTTAGTTTTGTGTCATTCCAATTGTATTTATTCCCATCAAATTAAACTGTGTTCAGTTGGTTTTTCTTCAGATATTGATTCGACATGAAATGGTAATGTTGACATAAATCGTTGAAGTCATTCGAGTTACTTTTGTCTACTGACTGTTTGGTAAAACCACAGGAATATTAGTAACAAAGACTATAGCCTTTTTCTTTTTAAAAAAACGAAGTTAGTACAAAATGAAAATAAAGCAAAATATCCATCAACAACACTTACGGATTTTGATTTATTATCAAAATTCAACATGACAGGTTTGTGTAATTGAGCACGAGAAGACTTCTTATGAATACGAGGGATTTGCGGGGTTGGCAGTAGAGCTGTACGTGATACAGACAAAAGATATGAGATATCTGGTTGTGGTGAAATAATCAAAATGGAACCACTAGCTACAGAGATTGTATCGAGTTTTGAAGCTATATTGGAAGTCAACATCCAACGACATTTTAAAACAGCATAGGGAATCACATGTTCTAGCTTTGTGCGTAATTCTAAATCTTCATCAAATTCGTATAAATACACCTGAAACAGAAGTGTATAGAAATATTGTTACAAAAATGATGGTAATTATTATCGTCATACAATTTACATCATTTCGTGTTTTTAATATCGTGCATATTCTAATCATTAAACTCAGTTTTTGATTAGTTGTCGATCAGTCATAAATAACACAAAGCATAATACACATGTGCATCAGTTAACATTGCTATACAGTAGCTGCTGCCTTGATGTGATGATCGAGTGTGCCTATCATGATGATCCGATCAAGCTATATTGACTGGAGTAGTTGTTTTTCAGGTTCTACCATATCAGGTAGGTCGGTTGCAGAACAGTAAGATTAGTAACAACAAACGAATGGTCTGGGGGCGAAGTGGTATTGCTGACTGTACAACGTTGTGACGGCTGAAAGGTGTTTTGTCAGTCAACCAGCATCTGTAATCAAGCTACCTTTTTAAAACTGAAGGAAGGATTTAGAAAAGGTTGACCCTAGAAATGTTACACTTTACCTTACCCCACAGATTTCCATCGTCGGTGGTAAGGCTTTTTGAAATACATAGTAGACACATAAAAAACTGATAAAAAAACACCGTATGTGTTCGGCCTCAAGCAATCGTCGCTTAGTCTCTGTAGTTACAATTCCAGTCCGCTAAAACCATTAATACTCCGGTCTAACCTTCCACCATGTGGGTTGTCGGGATGTGGCAACCGTACAGGGGTTTCTAACAGCACTCAGAACTGACTGGGTGACCAACCAGCTTTCCGTTAAGTGACATTCTTTTCTTCAAAGCAAAAAAAAGGAAACTCTTCTATTACCACTCCCTCCAGAAAGACAATATGACCGGCGTAGCGTATATTTCATTAGGGCTTTATCGGTGGGCAACGTTAGCCCCAATTCTTTTCTCAGTATTTTGACTTTAATTTAAACGATGAAATGATATTTAAAGCAATACTCACTTTCACACCCCTGCTAGCACAAAAGCCTACCTTTTCGGTGTCCTGATTTCCTTTTTTCATTGTATTTTATTGTTAGTAACCTTATTACAAACCCGCCTTTACTTTGAGCTCACTGGCATATCATTTCTACTGACTATCACTTGAATGTTGTAACGTTAGAGCTTTGGGTCAAATCGGACAGCACGCTCCTCTAGTTCAAGAGCTGATACTCCGAGATATAGATGCGTTTTGCGTTTTAGAAGTATATACACATGATTTAAGTGTTTATTCTTTTAACCTTGCGATATATATACATACCTTTGCAAGACTGTTAGTTTTTCATCAAAAAAATCATATACAGTTTGTTTTATGATTTGTGCATTTATGTATTACTAAACCTGTTAAGTCTCCATTGTGTAGTATGCCAGTGTAACTGCACTGGACTTGTCTCAAGCCATAACAAAAGTTGCGTGAGAATATATATATTCCAATAAATCCGAACGACAAAATATATAGCAGCGATAACATAAGCATTTACATATATTTTATAGCAGAAGCTTCAAAACTATTCTAGGGTCATTCACTAACGATGGGATTTGTTTGAGATAACATGTAAATCCATGATTGGTGTTAGATGTATCACCTCTATTGACAGGTTAAAAAGAACTATCAGGTTATTGTGCAGAATATCAAACTTACAGAGTACAGTTCAGTTCGAACTAATTATGATGCGCGACTATCTATCAATTTTGTCAAAATACATGGGTCAAAGTAAACAAAACTTACTTGAGATAAATGAAATGCTTGTTCCAAAGTTAATTTACTTGGATCTAATAAGTCCATACGAGACCAGGTGGAAACATGGCAAGCATAGCCGGGTTGAGGTTCTAAACGATCTTTGCTATTCTCAGCTTCTGGAGATACAATATATGCTCGAGATTTGATCCAACGAACCATAATTAAGTAAAGAAATTGATTACTATTTTTACCCGACAAACGACTTTGCTCTCGAGCGATTGTTAAATCTGCACACTGATTTACTGATAGACCTGGAGATTTTAAATAATGTGAAGTGAAAATTTATAAATTGTCAGGAAACCCGTGACATTTGAACTATATATGAGTAGATCCCTGTTAATTAGTTAGTCGGTTGGGTCCTCAATTTCTAAATTCGTAGAAATCATATACATAAACATTCTACTGAATCGTATGCCCCCACCAAATACTGTGGTACAGCTAAAAGTGTGGAGATTTCACTTTCCTCAGAATCCTCTCATATGATCATGTGTTTATAGCCTCTACCACAGAAATCCTATGTAGCGGAAAATGAAAACCAAAGGTCTCCCGCCTAAACAGCCTGTGGATAAGGAGCATTCACCTAGAAGAATCGGAAAATCCTGATTCTGAACCGATTGTAAACACGTACTCCAGGATCCTGAAAAAACGAACAGTGTATGAACTTATTTTGGTTACCGGCTACTCTATGGGGCAGCATCTCCTAGAGTTACTACAGTCTTGTGGATTATATTTCTATGTCAAAGACTTCGGAATTTGCCTTCTAAGAAAATTGCCTTAGTTTGAGTAACTCGACAATATCTCGGCTCACATAAAAAATGGTACACATGACTGAACGTTATTTGTCAGTGTATAATAGATTAGTAGATTAATATAAAATGAAAGCTGAATTGAAGCCAATAATTTTTCAACCAATAACAAATTTTCTCAACTAACATCAACGATTCGTTACTGAATAAGAAAATCAAAGTTGAAAACACAAAGTAATTAGGAAAAAATACATCTGAATAGATCAAACACTCACCTAACTTTTGTTGACCAAGCCAAGTGTCTGGATCATTACCAGGAATAAGACCATCACTAGCGATTTTTTCAACATCATTCCAATTATTAACCACTAAAAAACCAGTACATAAACTTGATTCTACGCCTGTAACAATATTGTTGATAGGATTTTTTTGAAATCTTTTACGAGCTTGAGAAAATAAATCTTCTAATGTTTTATTATGAATAAACCAAGCTTTTTCAACATCAAAATAAGATGAAAGTTGAGGAAAACGAAAACTCTGATTAATTTGAGGATAGATTTCTTCGGAATAATCCACAGAATTTAAGTCAACATTTTGAAGAAGTGCTATAAGTTAAACAAATGAAGAAAAAAACACAATTATATCATAAAACTGAAAATGATTTTTACTTTTGAAAATATTATTATAATAAATAAGAACTTTCGTCTAAATTTAAACGAATAGTTTCACAATATTTGGGCGCCGAGTTCATTTGAGACATTAAAAAGAAGAATATTATTATTATAAATTGAGAAGTAAAACTTTATGAACTAACAGAAATGATCAATAACACTTAAGAAGAATGATGTTTTTGAAATGCTAGTTATTTTGAATTGAAATAAGAATACAAAACAACGCATAAGACAATTTATTTATTTATTTATATATTTGAAAACATAGATACTGGTACAAGCGAGCACCAAATACATATGCACCACACAAATCTCATTTGATTTATATGAGGTCTGGGATGCTATCCGAGTGTCAAGACCGAAACAGGTGGTTTTCCTAGGGAGCTACACCCGGAGCCTTCCACCTAAATGTCTGATCCACAAGGCAGTGAAGCATCGTAAGGAGATGCAGTTCCATGGTAGCCGGTGACCAACGATTGGTTCATACACCACTTGTTCCTTCAGAATCCTGGAACCCATGTGCACGATTGGTTTGGGATCAGGGTTTTCTAACTCCCTTAGGTGGACTCTCCGATTGCACCAACCCGGTTGAAGCGCCGGACGTTCGTTTTTCATCCTCTCAATTTCGTAAACAACACCCCTGCCACGAGAAGGCAGTGAGTAGGACTTCCCTGGCAGAGGCTATATACGCGTGGCCATATGGGAACATTTGGAGATAGAGAGCGGACTCTCCCCATTCTCGGCCGTACCAGGGCATTTGGGAACAAATTTTACTGACTAGCGAAATTTTTGTTTTATTTAACATTAAAAGTGAATCTATTAAACACACACATCATTTCATAATTTTATTGTTTTTTTATTGGCAAAGCAGAAAAAATGTCACAAGGAAGAAAGATATTGAAATGGATCATTTAAGAAAAAAACAGGAATGAATATGGAACCAATACGTACAAAGTAGTAGTATACACTATTACTAGTTTTGACCAATCGCGTACCGGTGAATACCGAAATCTATCATCAAATATACTATATTTAGAAATCTTGCAATTTACCATATGACTGTAATAGTTGGTGACTTCACACACACACACGCACTACATTTTAACCTAAATAACCAGAAGTCGCTATAAGGCTGTATCGAACTGTCATTGATGGTAAACATAAAACCACTCACATAAAATGTAAATAACAATTTAGGAGTATTGAAGGTTCAACACAACTCATATCAACTCACAACTGCCACAATGTTGTACAGTCAACAATAATACTTCACCACCAGACCACAAGTTTGTTGTTTTTAATCTTACTGTTCTCCAATCGAACTACCTGGTATGCTAGAACCTAAAAAACAACTACTCCAGTCAATATAGCTTGATCAGATCATCATGATAGGCACACCCGACCATCACATCAAGGTAGCAGCTACGGTCAGGACTATCAGTTAAGTAAAACATAATGGCCACAACGCCGCTATAATGCATGCAAGTTATTAAATATGGTTAGGTCGATTCCTGATGCCATCAAAATGCATGACATCAAGACATGTGTTATCAAGTATGCTGAATCAATAAGTTACTATATGGTAATACGACTTTGCAGGCACAAATCGCTATACTGTCAGCCAACGAGAAACTTAAATCAATGGTTTCCGATTTTTACAGAAGCTAGTGGCCCCCAAATGCCCTATTACGGTCTAGGGTGGGGGGAAATGCTCTTACATGGGCACACGTATACAGCCAGTGATACGGAAGTTCTACTCACTGCCTTTTCGAGATGAGGTTTTGCTTACGAAATTGCGAAAAGCGAATGTCCACCGCCTTGACCGGGTTGGTGAACACGGAGGGTCCACTTAGGGGAGTGAAAAAACCCTGATTCCAAACCAATTGTGCACATGGGCTCCAGGATTCTGAAGGAACAAGTGGCGTATGAACCAATCGTTGGTCACCGGCTACCATGGAACTGCATCTCCTTACGATGCTTCACTGCCTTGTGGATCAGACCTTTGGGTCGAAGTGTCCGGGTGTAGCCTCCTGAGAAAACCACGTGCTTCGGTCTGGGCACCCGGGCAATATCATAGCACACACACAAATCAAGCGACTAGTGTGGCGCACATGTATTCGGTGCCCCTTTGTACCAATATGTGTTCAAATAACTAAGTAAATTAGTGTCTTAGATGATATGTTCATATAAATGATTTACAAGATATCCTTTCCCATAAACATAAAGACAATTAACTACCGAGCTAAGTCATATCATAGAAAAAGTCTAAACGAATTACACTTGTCACTACAGTTATAAAGAACGACGTAGAGCAGCAAGTATTCCTTCGACAATTCTTATCAATCAACAAATTTCCAGCATCTTCGTATTTTATTTTTATACTGAACTTTTAAGGATACACAACGGACACTTATAAGTCCATGAAGATTTACTTGACAGTCGATTATCAACCCTTCAAATAATCAGTCATTAACGTAGAGCTTAGCACAAATGTGGACTGAGCCAGGTCATATCGCAATAGCACGATGAAACGAACTTAACAAGATGAGTAGCAAAGAGGTTTAAATGGTTTGGTGACAATGGTTCGAAAAGACTTAAATGAAGGTATATATGAAGGAATATAGGATCTTAGGATCTAGAGGGAAATAAGGAACGTGGCGCCACTGTGACCAATTCCGAACAAATTCAACAAACATACAACCATTGATGGCAGTTATCATACAAAACCCAACTAAGTGATCGGTATCTTACATGATGCAGAATAACAAACAATGACGTCATGGACTGATGTTATGTGGTTGTTTGGTCTCCAGTAGCTTCCCTACTACCTACTTTTACATCAGCTGGCATTACTCATCGAAGGAGGTGGTGGTTGGACATAAGAAATACATGTCCCGAACACTCCCAGTTAACGAATCTCTACAACATCACCAACCGACTAACTGTCCTTACCAAGATTACTCGTTGGTTCTAATATTAATTTATTTGAACACATAAATATTGGTACGAAAAGACACCAAATAGATATGCCCCATACAATAACAACGAGGATGTGGACAGATAGAGAATGCAAAGTGCATATGAGAAAAAGAAGAACGATAACGGACAGAAATTAGTGTATGATGGTGAAATATTATTAATGGGACAGTTCGATTAGCAAAGGTACAACCAGAAAGAATTCTTCCAATTAAAGTTACATCCACATTTTATGACAAAAATAACGTCTTAGGCCACTGTTTTGCACCATCTCTAGGACCCCAACTACCGAGTCGTGAAGGTCCAGTCAGTCAGTCAGCAACAACGTAGAACTTTGTACGTACGTACATCAGTTCGAGTTGCTATACCACATTACCACAGAGATACAATTGTCGATTCAAATCCCGTGAAGGTCCAACAGAAGCCAGTCCTGCATAGCTTTCATACAGCGACACCGTGTCACACACTGACCACCTCTCCGATCTTTCCAACCGGTCCCACCATTGGCAAATAATACACGATGTGGAATTCTCTATGACGACATTTGTAGAACATGTCCAGGTCACCGAAGTCGGTATTTCAAGATGGTGACACCAATTGCATTATCGTCTCTGTGCCCGAACACACTATGCTCAACCTCTGCATTACTAACATGTTGTTGCCACTGGATGTCAGCAATCCTTCGGAGACAACGATGATCAATCACAGAGTCGTCTAACATTCCCGAATCGGAAGACAGGTTTTACAGGAATAGAGGAAAACTGCTCTCACCAACGCGTTGTATACCCGACTTTTGACAGTCACGTTAACCTCACGAAGGTGCCAAAGATGACCCAGATTGGCATAAGCCTCTCGGGCTTTCACTATACGTGGATTGATATCATCACTCACGCCACCACCAGCAGTTATTCAGCTACCCAGATACACGAGCTTCTCGACTACTTCTATCTGCTCACTACCCAGGGTGAATGCAGATAGGTGCTGACGAAAAAAACTAATAACCTATGAATATCCTCTATTTCTAAACGCTACTTTTCAGTATTAAAGTGAAACAAATCGAACTTCCACCCAGTAAAAGCGTCCTTTGGTTGGAAGAAAGACATATGCGCTTGACGAATCCGTATCCCGGTTTTGTAAGACACAAATCCATTAAAGTCGATCACACTTTCGAGATGTGTGGAGTGGTCATCACACTCAACTAACTCACTTTCTATTATTATTTCAGGTGTTGACATAAACCAGCCCTGAAGCAACAATATACATTTAGAGGGAAGGAAACGCAACTCAAATATGTCACCATTATTACGAAAGGCGATCAAAAGACTGTATTTTGTCAGCGATCTGATGAAACGGGACTGTCACCGCTAAATGCCCTAGTACGATCGAGAGTGGAGAGAGTCAGCTCCCCATCTCCAAATGCTCTCACATGGACACGCGCATACAACCACTGCTAAGGAAGTCCTACCCAATACCTCGCGGCATTACTCTTGTTTACGAAATTGAGGACAAAGATCGAATGTCCGGCGCTTTAACTGTGTTGGTAGACACGGAGAGTCCACCTAAGGGAGTTGGAAAACTCTGATTCTAAACCAATCGTGCATATGGGCTCCAGGATTCTGAAGCAACAAGTGGCGTATGAACCAATCGTTGGTTACTGGCCTCCTAAGAGAAGCACCTGCTTCGGTTTGGGTACGCAAGCAGTAGCCCAGCCCCCACACAAATCGAATTATTTATGTGGCGCACATCTATTTGGTGCCTTCTTGTACGAATGCTTGTGTTTAAATAAATAAAATATCACTGATAAGTGAATCTATTCATGTAATTCTTCATAAGTTAGATAAAGTATGACTTCCGCACTTACCAGTATCTGAATGTTCTTTCTATAACAATCATATATTTCATAGATATATAGAATCACTACTTAAACTGCATCAAGAAACCAATATACATATACGTCATTGATCTCTGACCAAATTATGTGTGAAATGGTCTCAGTAGTGTTGAGAGATATTGTATTTCATGATTTGAAAACTCTTGTAAGGAATGCTCGGAATCCATCGCTATATAAAAAACTGATCTACATTTTTACCCGCACTCAATCCCAAGTATACTACCGTTCTGTCATCCTATTTCAAATTTTTTTAAATAGACTATGAATGATCTATACGCTTACTCTTCACGAACTTATAGGAAAAACATCAATCTCAGTAGACTCACTTTACGCCGCTGCTTTACCTTCTTTCTCAAGTGGTTTTAATAAGGTAAGTTGTTGCTTCAACACTAACGCGAATAGAAATTATCTGCTAATAGGTGTGACTATGTTCATTTGTAGGCACGGCATGCTACGATTTTCTCAGTTTCACAAGACATTTTTATAATATATCTCTAACTATACTTCCTAACAAAGGAATGCATCAAAGCAAAGGTAGTAGAATATTAGTGAGTCTCCAATAACATACTCATTCAAACGAGCATATCAATTCTAAACACGCGTAACTTGGTGGTCTTCAAGACAATACCAGTAGAGAGTGCTTAAAAGTTATGTATACCACAAAAGGACTAGTGGACCCTCAATAATTAAGTGATGCTAGCAAAACATGAGGCAACAGGAAAAACAATGCAACCCAGACTCAAGACAACATAAACAGTTGAGCTTCCACTTACATAAATTACTCTGCTTTTTCGGAACCTTAAAGGAATTAAGGGCTTCCAGCCCAGCTAAAACAGATGCTTTCCTTCTGTAGGAGGATCTCTTACGAGAAGACATCAGTCATACTAACATTTTGAGATAGGCGCTAACCATTGAGTGTAGCCACACATTTTCAATTTTCACATGTACATTCAAGGCCCATAGATAAGTATCCTTTCTCAGTGGTCGATAAAAGTACGATACCTAAACGGTTCAAATGGTTTTGAGCGGAATACTAAAGCTTTTGCCTAACGGACTTCCGTATCTAGTAACTGTGGATCACTAACATCTCCAGATCGGAAACTGGGTATATTTGAAGATGCTGTAGCTGTAAATAAATCCCCAAAATAAATAGCTCTGTAAGTTTTCGACATTGGATGCTGACCAGATTAGTTTTAATGAAATCACCTAGATGAAGGCGCTCGGTCATGCACCAGCACCAGATCACGTGGTAACGCTGTGCTCAACATCTACCGCAATCGCTGGCCAGATTAGATCAGAGAATTCCGATATATTGGTAATCGACAAATACACTCTTCCGATCTCTTCGATTCTGTCTTTTGATTTCTCTTGGTGGGTACAAATTATATTAGTAGGTGTTGCTGGTAAAAGCGTTGTCAAACACTGGATACCTGTACCATCTTCATTGGTGAGACCGACGTGATCTGGTACACCTAATTGCAACTGCGAGTCTGTTCCCTTTTGGGATTTTTATATATTATTGCCTTACTTTTTTATTTTTTTATACATTGTAATATTTTTTACCCGTGTTTTAGGATATCTATATATTTTCCCCTCGTATTCTCGTACTTAATATACCAATATGACCGAACAGACTCCTAAGGTATTTAAGATTAAGACCATGTCCCCACCCTCGTTCCAACTCATGCCTTTCTGGCCTGACAATATCGTAGCCTGGTTCTGCTACGCAGGAGCCGACTTCCACGAGCACGGCGTGAACGACACACGTGCATAGTTCCTCGCAGTAGTCAAGGCACTACCGCGGGAATTCAACAGGTACGTAACACCTAGTATGTTTACTAGTGATACTTCTAAACCGTACGAAACGTCAAAACGTTCTATCCTTAAACGAGGAAACCTAACCGATCGACAAAGTTTAGACCAACTCTTTAATAACATAGACGTGCAACACAGTTCTGCGACGGACATGTTGCGAAGGATGAGAGAGGTTATAGGAATAAGAACTTTCGACGAAGGCCTATTCAAACAACTTTTCTTGTCAAAACTTCCCCAACAGGTGCAAGCAGTTCTGGTCTCGTTTTAGAACAAGGCCTTAGACAAACTGGCTGCATCTGCCGATCTTATCTTAGAAATTACGACATCTTCTATTACCGAGGTATTTTCAGTCAAAGAAAAGCCTCAAGCGACTCAGAATGACATAACCGAGTTATGTCATAAAATTGCAAGTTATCTTAATTTTCGTAACGACCGTAGGCGATCACGCACCCCATGTAGAATCACGTCACGTAAGCGATCTGTCTCTAGACCGCGACAGACGGATAATCCCGACTGGTGCTGGTATCATAACCAGTATGGAAAGTCTTCCAGAAATTGGAGAAAACCCTGCAGTTTTCCCAACACGAAACCGACCGACTCGAAAAACAACTTGGGAAACTTCCAAGCCAGCACGCGTTAACGGCAACCGTAGCCGGCGAACATAGCCGTCTGTTATACGTCACAGATGTGACAACGAGATTTAGCTACCTCGTTGACACTGGCGCAGAAGTCAGCGTTCTGCCAGCAAATCCTAACGACTGGCTTCAAGATTCGGTTTTAAATTTAAAGGCGGCAAACGGAAGATCTATCGCAAGGTATGGCAAGAGGTACGTTCATCTGAACGTGGGTTTACGCAAACCCATTCACTGGATCTTCGTTGTTGCAGATGTTTGTATACCAATCATTGGTATGGACCTTCTACAACACCATAATCTAATCATCGATACGCGCAAACGGAGGCTAGTAGACGGAAACACTAATTTATCTGATTGCAGATTATCCTCAGTCACAATTAAGCATACGATAGACCCACTTTATCAACCGCTACTCGACACGTATCCTGGGATTCATCAAAAGCAACCGAAACTACAGCGTGTAACCAGCAACGTTACACACCACATCACGACTACAGGACTACCTGTATTCTCTAAAGCACGACGACTAGCCCCTGAAAAGCTAAGGTTAGCGAAAAACGAGTTCGATCACATGATAGACTTAGGAGTCATACGACTGTCAAATAGCAAATATGCATCTCCGTTGCACATGGTCCCTAAAAAGGACAGCAACGATTGGCGTCCAACTGGTGACTATCGGCGATTGAATGAAAAACCATTCCCGATCGTTACCCGTTGCCTCACATTCATAATTTGACAGCTACCTTGAAGGATACAACTGTCTTTTCGAAAATCGACTTGGTTGAAGCGTATAACCAAATCCCTATGGTTACTGACGATATTCCGGAAATAACAATCATTACTCCCTTCGGACTCTACGAATTTTTGCGAATGCCCTTCGGTGTAAGAGACGCTGCACAGACCTTCCAAAGATTCATCTGGATCTTGTTTTCGAACGACTACAAAAACATGGCATTACTGTAAACGTTCAGAAATGCCAAATCGGATCTGACTCATTAGACTTCCTAGGACACGCTATAGATGCTCAAGTCACACGACCCCTTAGGACCAAAGTGGCGGCAATTCCGTATTACCCAGAACCGACCACGATCAAGCAACTACGAACGTTTAACGGCCTTGTATGTTTCTATGGACGATTCGTACCTAAGTGCGCTTTACTCATGAAGCCGCTAACCGACCAACTTCGTGGAAATGCGACACCGCACGGAAAGCATTCTTCACAATTAAGGAATTCATCGCTAAAGCAACAATGCTTGCTCATTTGGACACTCGAACACCCGTTTGTATCGCAGTAGACGCATCCGACTCAGCAATCGGAGGAGTCTTACAACAATGGGTTAACAATTCCTGGCAACCATTGGCATTTTTCTCTAGACGGTTGCTAGACAGTGAATCGAGGTACAGCACATTCGGTAGGGAACTCCTAGCTATGTATTGTGCTGTACGGCATTTTCAACACTACATTGAAGGTCGTGAATTTGTAGAGTTATGGTCTACTATAATATTAGTGCTGCTCTAATGATAGACCTAATCCTAAATTCGTAGATTTGTCATGATTTAACTGCTTAATCTATAAGATCTTACGTGGAAGTCACACCATCGACTACATCAACTCACTGCATCGTATCAATTACCAATACATGATGTAGAACAAGGTTAAGCTAGAGAAAGAACAATATATTTAATATGAATAAAAGATATAAGGTAACATTCAGCAGGGACCACGCCTGCATGAACGAGCCATTCATTCAATTCCTTGTTCGCGCCTTCTCCATCGTTAGGTGTTTCTCCGCGTTAAATATTGAATGTCTATTTTCCGAGTAATCTCGTATTCAGCTTTGAGGATTGTGTGGTTATGGTCCAATGCCACTACAAATTCACTCTTTTCACTGACCATAAACCGCTCACTTCTTCTCTATGCTCCCTTTCAGACAAGTACTCTCCCTTTGAGTCTCGACAACTAGACTACATTTCGCAGTTTACTTCAGACATTCAGCACATCTCTGGAGCAAACAGTGTAGTCGCAGACGAGTTATCAGACACAATAAATGTCCCTTAGGCTCATTTAAAACTCCCATGTTCATCTGGATTTGGTAGGACTTTTACCAGATTCAAATGGATACTCTTACCTCCTAACCTGCGTAGACCGTTTCACTCGATGGCCAGAAGCAGTACCTTTCAAGGACATTACTGCTGAAACAGTGGCTCGCAACTTCGTCGAACGATGGGTAGCAAACTTCGGCTGCCCTTCAACCATCACTACAGTTTGAGTCTGAAATTTTCCGTCGTCTGACCACACTATTAGGAAGCACTTGCTTCCGAACGATCGCCTACTATCCCCAACCAAACGGGTCGGTAGAACTTCTTCATCGATAACTAAAAGCTTCACTATCAGCAGCAAACGTTTCACAGTGGACCAACGCTCTTCCACTCGTCTCTGAATACCTAACCAGACAGAGGATTCCAGAATTTGACTGCTCGTAAATAGTAAGAAACGTATCAACATTCCACTTACATGTGTTGTCTCTCTCATTTCTGCACGTCGACTTCGAGGTTTGTGTTTGAACCAAGATAAAGTAACTATCTAAGCAGATGTTTAGGATTCTATAAATCATTATAAGGTCAAATCTGAAGCGACCATACCGTAGTTGGTAAATACTCATTGATATAATGCGCTCTCCATGAGATCTGGATTTGAATTGTCGACCGTTTTCCATTCGATTAGTGTGTTAGTTAAGCACACAGGAGTGTGAATTTCACTGCAAACTACACTTTAGTCATATAAAGCTGTCTACTTATGTCTTCCATGAACCCATTTCTGAAGCTGATCTCAACTCACTGGATGAAGTGAGCAAATTAGGTGAAAGTTAGATTTTGAAATAAAAAACATCGTGAATGTTGGACTCCAGTATAAATCAGATGTTAAGTGTTGAACGTTATTTAGACATTGGAGGGACAGTACGCTATAAATTTTATTGAGACGTCTCGTATAGAGTCCAAAGTCCAGTGTCAACCCTGACTAAAGTCGTTGGATTTATAGTCACATACACAATCCCATAAAAAGTATCCTATTGCCAAGCAGATGGTCAAGGAAAATAAATAAATCTTTGTCATGAGAGTTGAAGGGTTGATGACAATCACCGATACTCAATATTTGGTGACGCTAACGTCCGAAGCCTCTTCTTATCCACAGATCTCAAAGCCAACCAAACCAGAAGTCAGGAATGATTGAATGAGATTTATATGAAACGAACATCGGCAATGTATCCCATAGAATAAAAGCTGACTGGTTATCTTGGTAGATGCCCAAATCTGCCTACTCAAATGTGATATAGTGTGAACACTTAACTGAAAGCCTTCAGCCAAGTAGTCATAAGGTGAATAACAAAGATGTACAGAAACAAGCGCATTGACTCTTCTAATTCAGATTCTTTTCTTAATATTTTCCAAATCAT